AGCAGGAATAATCAGAGAGCCGGATGCTTAAAGGTGATGCAACTTTTGGTGATGAGAAAGTCAAAGCTATGACCGAGATGAAGTGGAAATGGTGTGAGGTTGAGATTGAGGAACTGAGGGACTGTGATGTTAAATGGATGATCCATATGGATGGTCATGGAGGTCATGCTGGATAGTAGATTTTAAGCCTGGTATTAAAGTCATCAGTGAATGAAGCAGAATTGTCCTGGGACCAGAGAGAGTATGGCAGCAAATAGTACAGCCTGATGGCATGAACTTCAAAGGAAATGGGATTTGGGGAGGTAGAGGAGGAAGAAATGGTTTGGAAGTAGCAGTGGCAAACAGAAAATATTTACAACCTCCAGATCCCAAGGTGGGTATGAAAGGAAAAATAGACTTCACATGAGAGGACTACAGAAGCAGCAGCTTGGGGAAGATAGCCAGGTTTCATTAGGGCAAGAAACTGGGGAGACTGTGCAGGAAATAAAGGAATGAGGGGAAATAAATATATCCTATATATTCCCTAGGAATTTAGGATATAGAGAATTTGCTGTGATTTCTACATGACATAATAGAAAGGATGGTGTGGAGGTGGTTTTCTAAATTGGTTCAGATTAGTAGAATACACTGTAGAAATGGGGTGAAGGTCCACATGATGATGAATTTCCTGGAGAGTGTGGTTAACACAAAGAACGGAGTAGTACTGGTCCCCTGAGCATTTTATTTTTCCTGAATCTCCATCTGGTAGCCATGGGTTGTGTGAAGAATGAGTGAAGTTGGCTTCAAGAAGGTTTGTAAAGGTTTTTTTCTCTCTAATGCCAGAGAGAGATGGTTGGAATTTTTCTCTGGGTCAGCCGCAAAAGTTTGTATCTGTAAAAGTTTGTATCTGGCTTTCAAGAAGGTTTAAGGTCCAGGGTTAATTTAAGCCTACCTAGAAACCTAATCGTATTGCAAGTTGGTTTTAGAACTTCATTTATCTATCAATTTGGACTGTTTCTTCCTGTCTTCTCCTCATCCCTTCTTCCATCCCTATCTCTTCATTATATAAATATCTAGCTACAGATTCTCTGGAATTAGCTGGAAATTTTAGTTTTCAGGGATGGAGTTCAGACAAATCATTGTAAACAGGCGTATGTTCTAGTCTCTTCTTTGTAAGCATACAGATGGTATTTTAAAAGAGAACTTGAAACTTAACCCATTTTAATCTTGGAATTTTAATAGATGGAAGCCTGGAGTGGGTGAAGAGTCAAGTTGCAAATCACCAGATATCTCCGTATAAGAGAGTCAAAATACACATGATATATAGAAATAAATTAGATTAGTAATGTCTTTTAAGGAGACTCAGGATTGGAAGGGAGAGGGAGAAGGAGAATTAAATAAATCTTTCAAACCTATTTCTTTTTTTGTTATCCAGAATTTTTCTTTCTGGTAATTGACCACATCTTTGTTTCTTTTATAGGCATTGTTATTTGAGAATGGAAGAGGATACAGATTTTAGAATCAGGTTTAGTTCTTTGTGTTTCATTACAGATCACGTTGGATTTCATGGCACCATAAAAAGCTCACCAAGTGACTTTGTTGTTATTGAGATTGATGAACAGGGACAGTTAGTTAATAAAGCCAGTGATGAACCTATTTACAAGGTTAATAAAATACTACCTGGGCCAAATAATTTGGCTAAAAAAACAAACCTAGATCCTCAAAATTTATCCTTTGAAGAGAGAAGCAATCAAGAAGTCAGTACTTTGGCTGGGTGCTCTGGTGATGACCAAAATTATGAGCCTGGTTCAGAAAAGGAAGATACTATCGAAGATGGAACTTCCAAAGGTGAAGAAGAAAACATTGATGTATTAGGATCCTTGTTAGATGAAAAAACTAATGAATTACTGAATCAGTTTGCCTGTGATGTAAAAGAGAAGTGGAATTCTAAACCTGAACTAATTGGACCATCTCCTGAATTCTCATTAGGTAGAATCCTTGACAAAAACCAGAGGGCTATTTTGCATAGTGCTATTAGGCAGAAATTTCCTTTTTTAATAACTGTAGGAAAAAACAGTGAAATTGTTGTAAAACCAAATCTTGAGTATAAAGAACTCTGTCACTTGGTATCTGAAGAAGAAGCATTTGACTTTTTTAAATATTTAGATGCAAAGAAAGAAAATTCCAAATTTACCTTTAAACCTGATATAAACAAAGATCACAGAAAGGCTGTCCACCATTTTATCAACAAAAAGTTTGGAAATCTTGTGGAGACCAAATCTTTTCCTGAACCGAATTATAATGCTAATAATCCAAATGTAGTGATAACAGTAAGATTTCGGGAAAAAGCACACAAGCACAGGAAAAGATCTCTTCATGAATGCCAGGAAAGAAAAGTTATATACACAGGTAATTTAATACATCATTATTATTTTCTTAGATAAACTTAGTTAAAGTTGCGTGAAAGCTGAATGATTTCAAATGAATAGCCTTGTCCAGAGAGATATTGGAAACAATATATGGGTCCTTTTTTTTAATGGAAGGGAAAGTCTTTCAAAATACACTGGTTGTAAAAATTAACCTTATTGGGGCTTCCCTGGTGGCGCAGTGGTTGAGAGTCCGCCTGCCGATGCAGGGGACACGGGTTCATGCCCCGGTCTGGGAAGATCCCACATGCCACGGAGCGGCTAGGCCCGTGAGCCATGGCCACTGAGCCTGCGCATCCGGAGCATGTGCTCCGCAACGGGAGAGGCCACAACAGTGAGAGGCCCGCATACCGCCAAAAAAGAAAAAAAAATTAACCTTATTGATGAAAGTGTCGTTAACACAGATACTTATAGTTAATGTAGTCACAAACGTATAAAGTTGAAGCAGTTACTTTGCATTTGAGTAAGTGTTATGAGGATGAATCTTGATTTCATATTTTGAGAGTTATCTTAATTAAAATTAAGTATTTGGAGAGAAGTAGAGTATGTTTGCTGTGCTTGGGGAAGTGAAGAGAATACCTTGTAATCTAAAACAGCTGGACTTAACTGCCCAAGGTAGGGAACCTGCAAACTTACAGGGAGTTCCTTCCTTTGGCTGTCAGTCTTTTAGAGAAGAGATTCTCAGATTTTAGCATGCGTTATAATCACCAAAATTTCTTGTTGAAGAGAGATCTCTGAGCCCTATTCTCAGAGTTTCTGATTTAGAATGTTTGGGGTAGGTCTTTCACAAATTCCCAGGTGATCCTTTTTCTGCTGGTCTGGGGACCACATTTTGAGAATCACTGTCTTAGGGAATATATTCACTTTCTAGGATGGAGTGGAACTGATGAAATCTCACTCTGCAAGTTTGGCTGACCAGGTTTAATTGGCCTGTATCCTACGTGAAGGATGGCAAGTGTTTCAGATGGTCCTGTTTTATAAGTAAACAGCACAGCATTTAAAATAAAAACAGCAACTCAGATTTGCACAAATGTGTGTGGCACAGAAACAAGGTTGTACTATGTAGGGAACTCTGTGATGTAAGTGAAAAGAGTTTGAACCTTGGAGCTATGTGGGTTTTATTTTACGTTATGACTTTAGTTCATAAAAAGATTTATGAACTTTTTAATATCTTTAGGACTTAGTTTCCAAAACTGGAAAGAATAATACCATGGGCAAGTTACTTAACAATTCATAACTTTTGGTTGTAATTTAAAAATGGGGTAGGAGTAAAGCCTAATTCACAATGATACTCTAAGGATTAGATGAAATAATGAATGCAAATGTTTAGTATGTAATCGTTTTTCAAATGTTGGTGTCTTCTGTCTTGGAAATTTGTCCAGTTGTATGACTTACCTTTTCCATGAAAAAGCTGCTAGTATAGGAGTTGACACATGAGGCATGCAATAAATGTTAACAGATAAATCTGTTTTGAAGGAAAAACAAAACTAGTTTTACACGTGGGGAGAGAATTGATCAGTGATTTAAGCAGGTGTAGATTTTGTACGACTTGAAATTCTAACAGTATTTGAATTACTGAACCAAAAAATTGTGGAAACTTTTATATATTAGTTTAAATTAGTTTTACAAAAACTATGAATAACTGGAGAGACATGTTCAAGGGAGGAATTGATGGTTCACCAGAGGATAGTATGAAGATACTGGGATACCTATAAGTACAAGAACAAAGAAAAAGGCAAAGATAAACTTTGCCTATCCCAGATTTTGCTTAGGCTAGCCTTTTGTAAGAACAAAAATAGTTCATATAAAAACATTCCTTAATAAGTAGACCTACCTAAAAAATAGAAAACTTTAAAAAAACTTTTTTTAATTGTTATAAAATATACATAACATAAACTTTACCATTTTAACCATGTTTAAGTGTACAGTTTAATGGCATTAAGTACTTTCACGTTGTTGTACAACTATCACTGCCATCCATCTCCAGACTCTTTTCATCTCCTCAGACTGAAACTCTATGTCTGTTAGACAATAACTCTCTATTCCCTTCTCGCCTAGCCGCTGACCACCATCATTCTGCTGTCTCTGAATTTGACTACTCTAGGTATCTCATATAAGTGGAATCATACAACATTTGTCCTTTTGTGATTGGCTTATTTCACTTAGCTTATGGTTTATAAGGTTTACTTGTGTGTGTGTGTTAGAATTTCTTTACTTTTTAAGGCTGAATAATATTTTGTTGTATGTATATATACATCTTGTTATTTTGTTTATCCATTCATCTGCCAGTGGACACAGTTGCTTCCATCTTTTGGCTATCGTGAATAATGCGGCTATGAACATGGCTATATTGGTTTAAGTTCCTGTTTTCAGTTCTTTTGGGTGTATACCCAAAAATGGAATTGCTGGATAATAAGGTACTTCTATGTTTAATTTTTTGAGGTAGTGGTATACTGTTTTCTTAGACACTTTTTTGAAGAAGGAATTGTATGAAAAATTTAAGCGTTGAATGACATTTTCATTTTAGGTATTGCATTTATCAGCTCTAGAAGTTTTATTTGGTTCTTTCTTAGGTCCTCAATTTCTTGTTATGTTCATGTTTTCCTATAATCTTTGAGCCTTTTTTTTTTGGCTGCATTGAGTCTTTGTTGCTGCGCACGGGCTTTCTCTAGTTGCTGCGAGCGGGGGCTACTCTTCCTTGCAGTGCGTGGGCTTCTCATTGTGGTGGCTTCTCTTGTTGCGGAGCATGGGCTGTAGGCACATGGGCTTCAGTAGTTGTGGCACGTGGGCTCAGTAGTTGTGGCTCACGGGCTCTAGAGCGCAGTTTGAGCCTATTTTTAATGGGTCTTTAAAAATATTTGTCTGCTAATTTCATCTCTGTTGTTTCTGGGTCTCTTTCTATTGACTGACTTTTATTTGGTTCATGGGTCATATTTTCCTGCTTCTTTGCATGTCCAGTACTATTTTTTGGAGGTCAAACATTGTGAGTGTTATCTTGTTGAGTGTCTGGATTTTGTTGTATTGTTTTAGAGAGTGTTGAACATGCTCTAGCAGGTAGGAAGTAGATTGCAGATCCATCTGAGGCTTCATCTTGAATTTTATTAACGGAGGGCTAGAGTAGGCTTTATGCTAGTGCTGTCATATAGCTCTACTATGTATTTAAGGAGCCTGTCCACACTGGACCTGATAGAGGTGAAAACTACTAGATTTTGAGCTGATGTTTTAATGGGATGAGTCTTTGGGGCATTGGGAAAGAATGAGTATATTTTGAATGGGGGTGGGACATAAAGTATTAGAGCCAGAAGATAGATTCTGATTCTGAGAAGACTCTCAGGGGCTGGTGTGACAAATGGAACATGACAGAAGTGATGGTGTGTGATGTGTAAGGCTAGATCATAAAAGGTATTGCACTTTTTGTGCACAGTTCTTGGATGGCTCACTCTGGGGTAAGCTAGCTACCAGACTTTAGGGCTATTAAAGCAGCTCTTTGGAGAGGAACTGAGGCCTTCCGCCAATAGCCAGTACCAACTTGCCAGCCATGTGAGTGAGTGATCCCCTTGGAAATGGATCCTCCAACTCCTGTCAGGAGTTTTGAGTAACTGCAGCCCTAGCCACATTGTGCTGCAACCTCCTGAGAGAGCCTGAGCTAGAACCCACCAAACCACGGTGCTCTTGAATTCCTGATCCAGAGAAGTTGAGAGATAAGTGAATATTGTAAGCCAGTAGGGTTTGGGGCAACTTGTTACACAACACTAGATAAATGATATGTAACATTTAATTCTAGGCATGCAGATTACTAATCAGCAAGGAACTCAAGGGGTCACCTATGCAGATTTCTGGAACACGTTCTCTTACTCTGCCCTATGAATTCCAGCCCACTGGGCCTTCTTGAACTCCAGCCTCAGCAAGACCACTGTGCTCTACTTGGATTCCTCCTCCCTGGCCCAGAAAGTACCCCTAGTTAGAAAACCATGTTTTTTGTTTTTTGTTTTTTGTTTTTTTTGCAGTACGCGGGCCTCTCACCGCCGTGGCCTCTCCCGTTGCGGAGCACAGGCTCCGGACGCGCAGACTCAGCGGCCATGGCTCACGGGCCCAGCCACTCCGTGACATGTGGGATCCTTCCGGACCGGGGCACTAACCCGTGTCCCCTGCATCGGCAGGCGGACTCAACCACTGCGCCACCAGGGAAGCCCAAAACCATGGTATTTTAAGACTCACCTCATTTGTTTTGCTTTTCCTTTTGGGTCACAGTTCTGTGATGCCTTTAGTCTGGGGTCCAAAGACAGGTGTTCCATATGTTTTGTCTAGTTTTCTGTTTGTTTACAGTGGGAGTTCAAGGTTGGTACCAATTATTCCAACATGGTGCTAGAAGTGGAAGTCTCTAAAATTGAATTTTAAAATTTAGCATAGTTGGTTTTCTTTTCCAATACTTCATTTATTACAAGTAATTAAGAAAATGTTATAAATCTTATAAATTCAACATAAATTTGGTGATGTTTACATTTTCTTATATGCGCCAATATTATTTACTAACTTAATGAGATTTCAGCGTAAGAAAGACAAGTTTAAATCAATTAGACATTTTAAATTGGAATTACTTGAGTTTCATTACCTTAAACATTCCAAGTGCATAAGACATTCATTAACACAAATACTAAAAACCATGAATTTGATCATCTTAAATATTTCTATTCTGTAAAATTCTATATCTTCATGGATAAAATATACCTATGCACTTAAGGCTAATCAGCAACAAACTGATATAATCTCAAACAATTTGGAGGCTCCTTCTTAGATGGCTGAGCTTGCCTAATGACCTGTGAGTGACATGCCTAGATTGTCAGGGACAGATTTGACACACTGAACTCTAGTTATCAAACACATGTACTTTAAAACTTTAAGTGTTGCTCTCCTAGCCTTCTTACTTTATATAATACACTTTCTTGGTCTGTTTTTCACAGTTTGTACCTCCTAGCCAGGCTGCCGCAACACTTTTAAGGTATTTTAGTGGTGTCTGTCTAATTTCATAGATTTGGTGTATTTGAAAGACTACTATATTTTTTCACATTATTACTAATTGATTCTCAAATGTTTGGTTCCAGGACTAGTATAGCTCTTATAAATTATTGTGAACCCCAAACAGCTTTTATGTGTTAATTATATTTAACCTATTAGCAATTTAAAATGAATTTTAAAAGATATGAATATATTTAAAATAATCTATTTTATTTATCGATGAAGGTGGTCAAAAGGTACGAACTCCCAGTGATAAAATAAATAAGTCCTGGGATATAATGTACAGCATGGTGACTACAGTTAATAATACTGTGTTGTATATTTGGAAGTTGCTAAAGGAGTAGATCTTAACAGTTCTCATCACAAGGAAAAAAATTTTGTAGTGATCATTTCACAGTATGTACAAATATTGAAGCATTATTGCTGATTTTAAAAACTTTTTCATAAATGCATGTTTTTCTTCATATTTTTGAGACTTGCTATTTTCATGTTTTTCAAGGTTATTTATATAGAGATCTAAAGAACATACAGATCTTTCCCTTTCTTTTAAACAGCATGATTTCTAAAGTGTAGATATTACAGGCTTTTGTTTAGCTATTTCATATGTTCAGAGATAGATAGATAGATAGGTAAATTTCACATCCTTCTACTTCCTGAGTCACATGTACGTTAAATGTTCATTTTTCTTAGAGCACTCCTCAGAGAGACCTGTGTAGCTGCTGATGACAGTTACAAGAGGTGAACAAAATAGAAATTATTCTGCAGAAAACTTTGAATTTCCTTTTCATGATTTGAGGGAAAAGGGCAGTACTTTGAAGCATCTCATATGTATGTGGTGAACTGAGGATTGAGGTATTTTGTTACTGTCAATGTTGGCAGGTTATATAGGCCAACAAGTTGGGGGGCTTTTTTGGTGGCCGTTACAGCGCTTGTTCCTCCTTCCTTTTCTGCAGCCTCACTCCTACTCTCTCATCTAGTAGACATTTGAAGCAGGTAGCACGAGGCAAGTATGGTTTTATTTCCTGGTTTGCTGGCCTGGAACTCCCAGTCCGTGGGGTGCACAAACTTAAAGAGATAAATTATAACATGGTGTTCAGTGTCGCAATATAGATAATGACAGCTAGTGGAAACATGCAGATTTAAGTAATTAACTTCCTGTAAAGTTCATTTATTCATTCAATAAATACTTGAATACTTACTATGTGTTAGGCTGAAGATATAATGGTCAATAAGACAAACGTGATTGCTGCTGTGGTCATTGAGTCTTGAAGCATGAATAGAAGTATGGCAAATAGTAAATGGAGGGAGCACACGAAGGCTTTAGTCCATCCAAGGACTGTGAGGAGTTCTCTGTGTTAGGATTATAGGTTATATGAATGGGAGTGGCACATGTGGAGACTGGAAGGGTAGACTAGGGCTAATGTGACTGGGGCCAGTATGAACGTCAGATCAGGGAATTTGGAATTTTTTTTTTTCCCTGTAAGCCTTTAATGAGCCCACTAGCATTTTAAAAATGAGCGCTGAAATCCATGAGGTTTTGTATTTTACTGGTTGTATTTTGATTAAAAAGTACTCATTATTTAAATTAGTGATTTGATTCATTATAATGATCTGTCAGTCTGCTAAGAATGTAATTGATGTATGTTAGCTGCTTTTTTTGTAATCGGGGATTGTTTTTGTTTCAGCCTTTACCCTACGAAAAGAAAATCTGGAAATGTTTGAAGCAGTTGGTTTTTTAGCTATCAAACTTGGAGTGATTCCTTCGGATTTTAGTTATGCAGGACTTAAAGACAAGAAAGCCATCACTTATCAAGCAATGGTTGTTAGAAAAGTGACACCAGAGAGGTAATAAGATGTTACTTTAAAGGACAGACTTTATTTTCTTATTGCATCAAAAACTCAGAATAATACTGGGAGCATATTAATCTCACTATCAATAGTAATTGATTACAGGCTTACTCAGCACATATTCTGCATTAATAGTATAATTATCTTCTAAATAGAGTTTTGTTGTTGAACAAAACAAAACTCTATTTAGAACTCTAAACTCTATTTAGAAACAAAACTCTATTGAACAACAAAACAAAACTCTATTTAGAAGATAATACATGTTTATTTAGAAGATAATACGTGTATTTAGAAGAAATACATGTTTATTATAGAAGATTTAGAAAATAGAAAAAAGAATAAAAAAGAAATTAAATGTCACTAAAAGTTCTCTTACTCAGAAATAACCACAATAACATTTTGATCCATTTCCTTCCAGTCTTTTTTCAAATACTATGCTACATACAGATGCTACAAAGCCATTTTTTACATATGTGAAAATTACACTGTGTGTGTTATTTATATTTTACTTATAAAAATCATTAGTATTCTTAATAAAAATTTATGTCATGAAATATTTCAGAGTCATGTTTATTATACAGACTAATTTATTTAACATTCCTCTGTTTTGGGACATAGAAATTTGTTCCAGTTTTTCACTGTAAATACTACTCTGATTAATATGATTGTACTTAAATCTGTGACTTGTGGATACTTTCCTCAAGATAAAGTTCAGAAAGTTGAATCATTGAACCAAAATTCTGCCTAACTTGATGTAATATTGATATATTAATGTTTAGTCATCAGATGTTTTTAAGTATTCACTACTTGCAGGTAGATGTTTCTAAGTTCTTATATGTGGGACAAAAAAAATTGTTTATGATTTTGTCTTTGTGGTCAAGAAGTGCAGTATAGTAAGAGAATGACTTTAGATGCTAAAAGGTATTTAGATGTTAAAAATTAGTTTTTAACCATCAAAGACAAAACAAGTTATTAGTTTCTAGGAGGAGCAGGTACTTTGATTTGGCTTATGGGTAGGGGATTTTAATTACCCATCAACTAACAGTAAGATTTTAGCAGATGCAGAAAATCTGAAGATAGTTTAGAGGGGCAGTAAGCTAAAAAGTCTGCCTAATAAAGCAGATAGTTCCTGTAAGGACTACAGAAAATAAGATGTAAAGAAGAATTTACATCAGTTCTTACAGGATCTTAAACGTTAGGCTATGACAATTGGAATCTATTATTCAGATGTTGGTGAAAAATTGAAAATTTGAATAAGGAAGTGTTCAGAGCAGAATTTTACGAAAATCCTCTGGCACTAGTGGTTTTTTGGTAACATTGGAGAGAGACTGAGGAGGAAAGGAGCAAAGTCTAAGGACAGGAAGAGCAGAGAACAGTTAAGAGCTTCTATCCCTTGAACTAAGAAGTCAGAAGGCTACATAGATAGAGTAGTAGCATTAGGTATATGTGTTCCAGTTCTTAAAATAACTGTTAATATAATCCTGTGATAAAGGGTTTTTAGTGTACATTTGTTGAAATAAATGAAAGAGGTGTTTTTGAATTAGTTCCCCCAATTTTTATTTTAGTATTCTGATATAAGTTATTGTCTGCTAACTGTCATTTAAACTTTATTTAAACTAATTTTTGACATTTTTAACATAATTTTTTAATGTTTAAGCATTTAAACTAATTTTTTAAATGTAAGATTTAACTGAGTCTATATGATTTATCATTTATAGGTTGAAAAATATTGAAAAAGAAATTGAAAAGAAAAGAATGAATGTGTTTAATATTCGGTCTGTAGATGATTCCCTTAGACTCGGTCAGCTCAAAGGAAATCACTTTGATATTGTCATCAGAAATTTAAAAAATCAAATAAATGATTCTGCAAACCTGAGAGAGAGAATTTTGGAGGCAGTAGAAAATGTTAAGGTAAGAAAACTGCACTTTAAAAAAAAAAATTTATTTTTGGCTTAGTTGGGTCTTAGTTGCTGTACGCAGGATCTTTCATTGCAGCATGTGGGCTTCTGTCTAGTTGTGGTGCGTGAGCTCTAGAGTGCGCGGGCTCTCTAGTTGTGGTGAGCGGGCTTAGTTGCCCCACAGCAGGTGGGATCTTAGTTCCCCAACCAGGGATCAAACCCGTGTCCCCTGCATTGGAAGGTGGATTCTTAACCACTGGACTACCAAGGATGTCCCAAAACTGCACTTTAAAATAGAGTATTATAGGAAAATCTTTATAGTCCCTTCCTTTACATTGAGATAAGAAGGGAAATTTTTCTTTTTCTTTTGTACTTTTTCTTTTTATTGCATGTATAATTATTTTGTAAAATGGTAATTAGGGCCATTTGACTTATTTTTCTTCTTAGTACACATTTTTGTATTGAAAAAACACAACTTTAGTGTAATAAAAAAAAAATTGTATAGTGTTCCTCAGTGTGGGGGTAAAAACTATCTGTATAAAAAGACAGATTTTTTTTTTTTTTTTTTTTTTAGTATCTGCCATATAGAGTAGTATTTCAGGCAAAGAGATTAATTTTGGGGGAAACTTTGTCTAGTAATTCTTTTCAGAAATCTTTGGTAAATAGTTTTTATATTACTTTTCAGAATCTGTTTTCAATCTAATTTTGAATTTTGTTTCAGTGTATACAAATGATAAATCATATACATTTTGTCTTACAGTAAAAAATTACTCACCATAAGTTTTTAAATGACATTTGCCAGGCATCTAAATATGCACATACAACCATAGCCTTCATTCTGATCACGTAGACTATGGGTTCAGCAAACTTTTTTCTGTAAAGGGCCAGATAATAAATATTTGTGGTTTTGTAGGCATATGTTCTCTGTTGCAGGTACTCTACTGCTGTTGTGTGGAAGCATCCATGGACAATATGTAAATGAATGAGCATGGCCATGTTCTAATAAAACCTTGTTTACAAAAACAGGTGTTGGGCCAGATTTGGCTTGTGGGCCACCCATAATTCTCAACCTGGGGTGCTTTTAAAAAATTTCAGCAGTCTGTCTCTTCTCCCAAACCAATTAAATAAGAACATTTGGGGATGCAGCTTAGGCATTAACATTTAAAAAAAAAAAAACTCCCTAAGTGATTCTTCTCTACAGCTAACACTGAGAAACACAGATCTAAGTTTCTGACCACAAAGACCTTTTTACACAATTTTATGCCTCTCCAGCAGGAAAACAAACAAACAAAAATCAGGTTTTAATCAATGTCATGCCTAACAGGAAAATATCTTCCAACTAAAGCTTTTTAAAATCTTTAAAATATACAGGCATTCCCTGATTATATACTTTTTATATGGTTGCTTTTTCCTTTTCTTCTAGACCTACCTAAGATTCTTTTTTTTTTTTTTCCCCTGATAAACTATTAAAAAGATATCCCTTAGAAAAGGGAGTGGGGTTTTCCGAACTCTGATAGCATTTATTGCCAGACTTTCATTTGGTATTTATGCATATACATTTTAAAATCCCCACTAGGAATAATCTTAGATTTAGCCAACTTTCCTTTAGCTCTCATGATGAGGGGAAGGAAGTTGAGAAGTCCTGAAAATAAGAAGTTTTTGGAGTTTTGTTTTAAAGGGTTATAAACCTTTTGTTATATAACCAACCCTAAGTAATTTGGAGGGATACTTAAAACTCTTCTGGTGTTTGGAGGATATTGTGTAATGTTATTTTTCCAAATTTGAAATAATTAAAAGTATTTAACTGTGAGATTTAATACAGGGAGTACTTATTCTATCTGCAGTTGATCTTTATGGCATGAGGTCAGGACGCAGTTCCTTGTGTACCATGCTGATTACAAATTATCTTAGCATCTTTTATTGAACAGTCCTGGAGTTGGTGCTTGATAATCATTGTTGAATGAATATATATTCCCCCATAAAGTGAGTGTAGAGAACTCTTTTGTCTTTCAAGAAACCATCTGGGCCTGGGGTTTGCTTTGTGAGAACATGTTTAACCACTGACCAATGTCTTTAATGGTTGCAGTGGTAAATTACAATTTCCTATTCCTGGTGAAGTGACTCCATGCCATTGCCTTGGCCCAGGCTTTCAGAAACTGAGATAATTGAAAAATGAACCATTATGTATAAAGAAGCCAAGACTTGCTGGGTTTGAAAATAAATCTGCTTTGTATTTCAAGCGTCTCCAGACAGCAGAAGTCTCAAAATCAGAAAGAGCTTGAGGGCGAAGTGCAGATCCAGTACTAGGTAACCAGTACATCCCAGTTTTCCCAGAACTTTCATGAGTTTAGCACCAAGAGTCCCACATTCCAGAAAACTCCTCAGTAATGTGAATGAAAAGCTGACATGTTTTAAAAGATTTTTCACTTATTTCTAACTTCTAATCATTTGTTCTTTTCCTTTCTATATTTTAACTGTAGAGTGTTTCTCAGCCCATTTGGCATCCATGTGCATATTGCCAATTACAAGATTCTTTTATTGAAATAAATACAACAAGATTACATATTCCGACACAATAATTGTATTTATTTATCTTAGTTTGGGGCTATAACAAAGAACCATAGACTGGGTGATTTTTAAACAAGAGAAAATTACTTCTCATAGTTCTGGAGGCTGGAAGCCTAAGATCAGGGTTCCTGCCTGGTCTTCTTATTGTATTCACACACTGCAGAAATAGAGTGGGCTAGTTCTACCACCATTTCTTATAAGGGCACTAATCCTATTCATGAGGGCTCTATCCTCATGACCTAATTACTTCCCCAAATCCCCACCTCCAAACACCATCAGATTGGAGGTTAGGATTTCAACATATGACTTTTCGTGGCTCACAGGCATGCGGTCCTTAACAATATACTTTTAATTAATTGATTTTTTTTTGTATTTATAGAATAAAGGGTTTGTGAATTACTACGGACCACAGAGATTTGGGATGGGAAGGAAAGTTCACACAGACCAAATTGGATTGGCTTTGCTGAAGAGTGAAATGGTATGGATTCTTTAAAAGTATGGACTTAGCTGTTTTGTCAGTTGTCCTTACTACATAAGCCTGCTCCTTGCTTTCTTAACCCAGCATATAAGGGCAGCTATACCGCCACATACATATACCGTACATTACATCATGTTTATTGAGCAGCCACTATATTCTTGGTATCACATTATAACAAAGCAAACTGTATGTGATGCCCCTGTATTTAATACCTGCTTGAGACTAACAGGGACTTGACCAGCACTCATCAAATTCTTAGTGAGCTGAATAGAGGATTTTGAGAAAGTTAAACCCTAATTCGAGAAATCTGGTATCAGATATTACGCAAGATAGGAATTCACCCAATGGCAGAGACCAAGAGGAACAGCAAATTTGAAAGAGAAAATCTGGCTAGTTTCAAACGAAACTAAAAATGCATGTCACAAATAAGCCACATTTGCCCAATTATTATATATTTTAAAAATGTATATTACATATATATATAATTACATATTATATATACACACATATATTTTCACACTGGTTGCAGTACACATAATAGAGAAAAACCACAAAACTATGAAAATTATATATTTGAGCAAATGCAGTATTATTCATATAATAGTGTCATGCTTATTCATTTGTGTTCTGATATGCTTTCTTGAGTGGAAGAGAAAGGAACAGTATAAGCACTTGTGAGAAGCATTGTGCATGTGAACATCATCTTACACATGGAAATAAGGTTGATAGCTGGTGATGTAGACCACATCTGCAAAACTGCAGTCAGTCTGGGCTTAACATTTCAGAGGGAGTTTAGCAAGTGGGATATAACTGATATAATAAAGGGTCTAGAAACTACTGATGAGAAATGATTAACTGAACAGTGTTTTTTCAGTCTAGAAAACTCTGAAGAGGAAATTAACTTATAAAGTATTGGAAATTTTGTCATATGGAAGAAGAATTTAATAGTTAGGGGTCTGAGGAATGCATCATGTGTTCTGTTTGAGTTCTGCCAGTTGTCAAATATGTCACTATAGGCAGGTTAATTAATTTTCCCAGCCTCGGTTTTTTTAATCTGTAAAATGGACATAATACGTATTTTACAAGATGTTCGTGAGAAGTAAATGAGATAACTTTTGTGAAAGCACCTAGCGTAGTGTCAGGCTCATAGTAAGATGAATGTTCAAAAATATGATTAGACTGTTAATTGTCTGGTTTTAACAGTGGTAGAAATTCAGAGGGCCAAGTTTTAGCCTAGTGTAAGAAAGACTTTTCTAACAGTTGTCCAAAGAAATGGGCTTCCTCCTCTGCCACCCCCCCACCCCAAGAACTGGAAATTCCTCTTGCTATAATTACATTTAAACAAAAGCTGGCTGGTTACCCCTTCAATGCCTACCTCTTTCAAACTTCATATTCCATGCTCCTAATTATTAGTTAACTTGCTAGACTATTGGTTATCAATTATTGCTGTGGAGCAAATTACCCTAAAAGTTAGTGGATTAAAACCACAAGCATTTATTATCTCACTGTTTCTGAGGGTCAGGAATCTGGGAGCAGCTTAGCTGGTCATTTTTGCATCAGGGTCTCTCATGCATTTGCAGTTATCTATCAGTCTGGGTGGTCTCTGAAAACTTGAGTGGGTACCGAGGATCTACATCCAAGCTCACTCTCATGGTTTTTGGCAGGAACCTTGAGTTTCTTGACATAGTGGTACTCGTGGCATGGCTTCCCCTGGAGAGAGGAGTCCAAGAGCACAAAAGAGAGAGAGAGAGACCACAACAGAGAGAGAGGGGGAGACCACAACAGAAATCTCATGGATAACCAGCAAGGACCTACTGTATAGCACAGAGAACTCTGCTCAATATTATGGAATAACCTAAATGGGAAAAGAATTTGAAAAAGAATAGATACATGTATATGTATAGCTGTATCACTTTGATGTACACCTGAAACTATCACAACATTGTTAGTCAACTGTACTCTGACATAAAATAAAAAGTTTTTAAAAAGTAGGGTTATATATCTTTTTTTTTTTATTTTTTGCGGTACGTGGGCCTCTCACTGTTGTGGCCTCTCCCGTTGCGGAGCGCAGCCTCCGGACGCGCAGGCTCAGCGGCCATGGCTCACGGGCCCAGCAACTCCATGGCATGTGGGATCTTCCCGGACTGGGGCACGAACCAGCGTCCCCTGCATTGGCAGGCGGACTTTCAACAACTGCGCCACCAGGGAAGCCCGGTCATATATCTCTTGACATGCTCCCTTTGCTAAAGGAAATAGAATATTCCTTCAGAGAAATGAAATGAGAAAAAAATTGCAGTTTGGTAAAATGGAGGGGAGTAATTCCTTTTCAGAGGATACAGTTTTTAGCCTCATAAAATTTCTTTAAAAATAGAGCATTTATTCCTTTCTTCATTCATTCATACTCAATAAATATTCATTGAACAGAAAAAGAAACTGCAGTGTCTTTCACAGCCTAATCTTGGGAGGGACAGACCTTCACTACTTCCGTATTCCACGGTCACACAGGCCAACCCTGATGAGTGTGGGAGAGGACTGCCCAGGCGTGAGCCCCAGGTGCTTGAGACCATTGGGGCTGTCTTAGAGGCTGGCTCCCACAGCTGGAAAGGCAGATTTTTTTTTTCCTTTTGCTTGAAGCATGCCCTCCCCAACCTTTACATTCCTTATGTCTCAATTTAAATTGTCATCCCACTACCCAAGAATTAGTGAATTCCCCTTACCTTGTGACTGCACAGCCTCCTAGACTTCCCATCTCAGGTTTGATTACATTTTATAATTATTGCTTATTTAATCTTTTCCAGTAAACAGAGACTACAAGTCTCTTGCTCAACACTCTATCCCTGGTGTCTCCACAGTGCCTAGCACATGGCAGATGCTTAATAGTATTTGTTTGAATGAATGAATAATGTTAACAGAAGAATGAGTGGGAGATTTTGTTGCTTGACCTATTTTAAGATCCTGTCCGGGCTTCCCTGGTGGCGCAGTGGTTGAGAGTCTGCCTGCTGATGCAGGGGACACAGGTTCGTGCCCCGGTCCGGGAAGATCCCACATGCTGTGGAGGGGCTAGGCCTGTGAGCCATGGCCGCTGAGCCTGTGCGTCCGGGAGCCTGTGCTCCACAACGGGAGAGGCCACAACAGTGAGAGGCCCGCGTACCGCAAAAAAATAAAGAAAGAAAGAAAGAATATCAATATATATATTTCTTAAGTCATGTTACAATTTAAAGTTTTTAAATACACAATTTGTAAAGCAATTTAAGAACTTTAAAAAACTTATTTAATATTACAACACACTTTTTAAGAATGTAGGAAACACTTTCAAGCTGTGATTTTACTATGAAGGTTTTTATATGTAAGCATATATTTATCTAGCTTTGAAGCATAGATCTTACAGGTATTTAATTAAAGCCACTATTAACTGTGGGTATGCAGTATATCAGGTTTCTAGGTGTTTTCTGTAGTATTAAAATATTAGTAGGAAAATGATCAACTTATTGCAGACATTTTCTTCTTTCAGCTGCTTTTCTAACTCAAACGGTGTGTCTTGATGACACAACAGTAAAGTTTGAAATATGGGATACAGCTGGTCAAGAACGATACCATAGCCTAGCACCAATGTACTACAGAGGAGCACAAGCAGCCATAGTTGTATATGATATCACAAACGAGGTAAGTAGAAATGCATTCTGCAAAGAAACTTGTTTGAGTATCCATTTTTGGTATTCAGAATTTCAGTTATAGAAAAGATTTTTTTCTTAATCTTTTTTTGTTAGCCAAGCATGACTTTTCTGCCAAAACTTTTATGAAATAGAGAAGCTGATTTTAAAAAATAAGATGCAATTGTCTCAGCTACTACAGTAGTGCTAAGAATTGCTTTCCAGGAGTCACACTGGACAGTCTTTAAAGCCTCGCCTCACAGACACGCTCCCTAGCCATTCTTTGAGCCTGTAAAAAAAAAAAAAAAAAAAAAGATCCTTACCTACTGTAAGGCACATACTTAGAAATAAGTTGTGCTGGAGACAGTGATAAAATATAGGAACGAGTAGATACCGTTTTTTTTTTTTTTTTTAAAGGAGCATCTTTTAATCTATTTAGATTTTAAAAGAAAACATTAATGTTGGCAATTTTTACAAATGACTTTGGCAATTATTTTTAAGACCACAGAATTCTGAGACTTGAGAACACAAATGAAATTAGTGGCTTGCCATTCCCCTATGCTTGTTCCTTCCCTTATTTTTGTTGTGTATTTTTGTTGGCTAAGTCTGAGTTATATGTCATCACTTAATACTTCTGTTCATAGTTCGATGATAGAGGCAAAGAATGACAGAAGAAGAACTGTGGAAGTGGTGGGGGAGCACTTTTCCAGTCCCTAATATTTTAAACCTGTGTATCAGTTTGCTTTGTACAGGAGGTTAATTCTAAATTTAACATTGTTTAACTTTTGAACACTTAAAGACAGAATTGCCACGTAAAATATCATGTTAAATGCTTATTCTTGTTCCTTTGTTAAATGTCTGGCATTTGTTAGATGTCGGACAGTTTGTACCTTTTTAAAAAACAGTAAGTAATTTTTCATTTTCATTTAACACGTGTTTGCTTGTTTGGTTTTTAAAGGTGAAGGCTGTACAATTATTTCTTACACCAGAAGAATTGGATGATCCTGTAAATAGAGCAAAGAAATATTTTCTTCAGACTGGTACTTAAAAAGTTTCTTTACCCCATACATAACCATGCAGATACATAATATAAGTGTTGTCAGCAGGAGGGCATTCATTACAACATAAATATGATAAGAAATAAACTGTAATATATTGTATATTTAAGCATTTTTATTACGTGCCCTAGGCACTCCATTTTTGGCCAGATCTCTGGGATTTTTGTCTGTTCTAATTCTTGCTTAGGGGTAGGGGTGAGGGAAAAGATGCTGTCTGAGTTTTTCTTGGCCTAAATCCTCGAAGGATTTAGGTATTGATGGAAGTATAATTCACTACAATCAGAGGAGACTGAAAAAATAAACTAAATAAAAGTACATTCGTTATATCTGATACTTTGTGCATTGTTTTTGATCTAGTTGCCATTTAGCCCTGATTGCTGATTTTGAAAACTTTAGCCCAATATATGTAGAATGCTTAATGAGAAGCACTAAAAAAAAGTTGTTACGAGTGTGGGTTCTAGAGTCAATCTACGTGGGTTTAGCTCTCAACTTTAGAACTTCCCAGCTGTACAGTCTTGTGCAAGTCATTTAGTTTCATTCTTTTTAGTTTCTTCATCTGCAAACTGAAGCTAATAATGGTACCTAAAAGACTGTCATGAGATTTAAATAAGATAATAGATATAATGCTTTTAATATAGTGCCTGGCACGTTCTGAATACTGAATAAATATTACTTGTATCTAAACAATAACGGCAACCATAGCATTTTAGAGTCATTCAAATATATCATCGACATATACGTGCATATTGAATTTCACTTACAATGAAATAAAGGACATCAGTTTTCAAATATCTCCACTCATTGTTTTAAATTATGTACATATTACCTATATGTAAGGATTCATAGGAGAAAAATGTTTTTATGCCACACCAGAATCTGTAAATAGTGTGAGCATTTCAAATTGTTATAAGTAATCTAAGTAATACTAAGGAAAATTCAAAATTGCATCTATTGTAGGGTCCTGAGAAAATAATTTCCTTTTGGCAGTGATTCTTAAACTTTAGTGTGCTTAAGAAACCTGGTGCATTTATTAAAATGCTGAATCCAAGGCCCTACCTGAATAAGCATCTTTGCCATGGAGTCCAGTAACCTAGTTTTAAAAAGCATCCTACTAGCAAGACCTAATAGTACACTTCAAGGATCCAGATGTCAACCCTTTCTTATTCAAAAAATTCTGTGTAAAACGTCTATAACAGCTCTTTAAAAATCTCTAAGCTCAGGGGTTTATGTAATGCTTTAAAAAAAAAAAGTCCTCTGAATAACTGCAAATTAGTTTATCTCCATCCTGAAGTTGAAATTACTAATGTTGTGCTCTTTTTAAAACAGGGAAAGTGATTGAGCCATACGATTAATGATCTTTATTAAAAACAAACAAAGAAAACACCTCTTCAGGTGTAGCTGTGGTTTATAGTTGGTGCTGAGCATCATCTTCATATTCAGGTTCCCAGGATAGCTCAATTCATTTAGAGAGCGTGGTAAAGGTCTTAATAACTAGCCTTTAAATAAAAGTGACTAACTGATCTTTGCTTTATTCAGAGGATGCTAAAGGCACACTTTCACTGATGCCTGAATTCAAAGTTCGGGAGAGAGCATTGTTGGAGTCCTTGCATCGCTTTGGCGTGACAGAGGAGGGCTGTATCCAGGCATGGTTCTCTTTCCCCCATTCCATGCGCATATTCTATGTTCATGCATATAGCAGCAAAATCTGGAATAAGGCAGTATCTTACAGACTTGCAACCTATGGATCAAGAGTGGTGGAGGGTGATTTGGTCTGTTTGGATGAAGATATTGATGATGAGCATTTACCGAGTAGTAAAGTAAGTGTCATTTCATCAAGAGTAGTTACCACACCAGGAATACTAATTTTCAGAAGCCCTTATTTTAGAAACAGTTTAAAACTAAACATGCTCTTCTTTTTTTTTTTTTTTTAACTTATATTTGCTCATCTCCTGCTTCTACTCTGCTGTCAGCTGACTCTTAACATGCTATTGAATGGAAGAATAAAAATAGTTAGTGGTATGAAATGAAAGTTACAAAGATAGTAAACCTTCCTTTAAAGAACACATTCTTTAGAATAAGATTTTTATAATAATGGTAGATAGGGTATGTAATGTCATGTGCATTTCTTTTATATAGGTGCGATTTTACAACTTGCTTTTTTCCCTCTTAACAGTATCTTAGAGACATTTATATTAATGAAATATAATTTTGTATTGTAAAAATTGATCCTTCCATTTCCTCCGCATCCAACTAGTATTTTTATAGTATTTTAATCTCTATGGGATTGAACTAAATAATGAAATTTAATTCCGTAAATCATGTAAGGAAATTTATTTTATAGTATTGTAATGCAAAAACAGCAGACTATTCTCCATCATTATCTTAATTCAATCTCACAAATATATTTTAAAAATTAATGAAGAGATTTGAGTAGTGCTTTTGTATATAACATCATAAAATCATTGACCTTTAGAGGACAAAAAGATTTTAGAGACCTTCTTTTCTAATTCCCATTTTATAGAAATGAAATTGAGACCCAGGCTGGAGAGGAGACAGATTAAGTGACACTTAATCTGTTGTCTGATTCCTAGCCCAGATTAGTCTCTACTAGAGAAATAGGGGAGTGTAGAAAAGGTGTCAGCATCTAGAGATAGGGCATGGCCCAGTTTTTCAAAAATGGAGAAAAATAGACTGAACTTTCCATAAAGGAAGCTTGATCTCAATTAATGTCAGAGTTCTAGATGTATGAATTAAGGATTTTTTTGGTTTCAAGTGATGAAAACCCACCTCAGACTAACTTAAGGAAAACAGACAGCAATTTCTTGGCCCTCATAACTAAAAGCGCATGATTGATTCAGGCACAGCTGTATCAAGGGGCTTAAGCAGTGTCCTAAATCATCCGTTTCATTTGCTTTATCTTGCAGCTCTGCTTTTCTCTCTGTTAGATCCACTCTCAGTTTCTTCTCCAGAAAAGAGGGCTTTTCTTTCCCAACAGTTTCAATCAAACCATGGAATTGAGCCTCAGTGGCTAGGAATGGCTTGGCTTGGGTCACATGTCCCCAGACCAGTTATTGTGGACTGGAGTATGTGATTGGCAAAACCTATGTTCCAAGGGCTCCTTCCTGGAACCATCCCATCCAAACCACATTTAAGAACTGGGAGGGAAGCTCCCAGGAAAATGCAGGTGCACTACCAGAAAAGAGGGAGTAAAGGCTGAGTGATGAGTGAGCCAGAACAAAGATATCTGCTTTATTATTTTATTAAATGAATGGCTTATGAATATTTAGATAAGAAAGTGATCACTAAGACCATAAATCATTAAGAATGGTCATTTAACTGAGACACAGACTCTGAAACTGTGTAAGAAAAAATCTAGCAGCATCGTAGGTTTTATTTTACCTCATATGAGTGGAAGAAGAGATATGTCAGTTGATTCCATTTTGATAAATAATGAAAAAAGCACAAGTTTTTTAACACCTTTCAGAAAATATGTCCATTTAAATATTACCTAGGCAACACATTATTTAGTAGGTCAGCCGTTTCTAATTCAGATTTTCAGAAATTAAAGGTTACTTTGACAAACTATAACAATAATCTCTGAAATGCATGTGTCTTATAAGACTTCTTTGTTCCATGTAACATTTGCACGGATAGTTTTGTGATCAGGATTGAATCTGCTTTTCTTTCAGGAGATGTAGTAGAAAAGAGAATATTTTCTCCTTTACATTTTGCAGAGTGTCCTTTTATTAGCAGCAAAAAGTGTCTATATTTTTAAGATCAATCATTTATACTTTATTAGTTAGCACTGAGAAAAGAAAAGGCAGGAACTGGAGTCTCAAGACATAAAATATGTTTAACTGAATCACTTTGCTGTACACCTGAAACTAACACAGCATTGTTAATCAACTCTACTCCAATATAAAATAAAAAGTTAAAGAAAAAAACCAAAATAAAACCAAAAAAAGACATAAAATATGAAAAGGAAAAAGACAAACTAATATTTCTAATAAATGGTGTATAGAACATGTTATGTTGTGTATCTACATTAAAAATTGTAAGAAAGTGAGTCCCTTTTTGATAGAATTACTAGGACTACCGATATATCTTAATTTCAAGTGACTTGGCAGATTCTCATATAGTTTTTTTGTGAACAAGATGGAGAAATGTGAGTTAGACAGTGAGAATGGTGAATTCATCTTTGCAGAGCAGCCATACAGCAAAATCATGTTCGTTAATTTATCGATTGATATCAACCTGGAGGGAGTTCTCTAAAGACAAAACGTGGTACTCTGTACTTGACCATGTTTGTTCAGTATTTTCATAAATTGCTTAAATTGCAGCATTGTAGGTATGCTTATGAATTTGTGAAAGACAAAAAGCTGGAAGTGATGATGCAAGAGAGATCATAGCCCCATGTATTTGGTCAGATCACATCTGGAGTGTTATGTCCATTTCTGAGTGCAGCAGTTAAAATGGGTTATTTACATGTAAACAAACAAATAAACCCAAAATGAAAAAACAAAAAAGGAGAGACATTATTGATAAGAGTAGGGAGAATTGGGAAAGCAAGCAGGTTTAGAGAAGATCTAGACATCGTATTATATGATGAATGCTTTAAGAAAATGACGCTGTTGTAATCCTCATGGAATGATGACAGCTGCCTTTATACTTGAGCTTTCATGTGCCTGAGAAATCGGAATTATTCTCTGTCCTAGAGCAACATGTCTCAAATGTAGCTTATCACTCACCTCTTTTTTTTTTGCCTCGTATGTGTGACACCTGTATTACTAGTCTATGAAACGCATTTTGAGAAGCTCTACTTCTCATAGATTATTATGACATTTGTTAGGGACAGAGGTTGGGTGGTCTCACAGAGGCAGATTCTTGATTCAGCATAGTAAGAAAAAACAACTTTGCAGTTTAGAAAAAGATCATTGGTAACTGAGGTGAATGTGTTGCTTCAGAGTGTTAGCTGCCCCACATTCTCTGTGTATTTCCACGGAGTTATCAGGGCTTAAAGCAGGAAGAATCATTCTAATTTTTAAGGAGTCTACTCCTCTGGAAAGAAATTGTGAAAAGATCTTGTTTGGGTATGTGTATATTCAGCTAAGGAGTCAAACTGTACATAACAGAGTTAGGGAAAATTGAGGGAATTTGGAACATTTGAAAATCATCTGTATTTTCATCATGTTTTTAAAAAATAGGTTCATCTAGTAACTGAAGAAGAGGAATCAGCTAATACCTATGCAATACATCAGGTAAACTTGCTTAAAAATTAGTATAATTTAGATCTAAATGTACACATTGTGCCCACAATATATATTAACCAGTTCCCTTCCTTGCTCCTTTTTTTAACCACTTTTAATTCAGTTATAAGTTATATACAATAAAATTCACTCTTCTCAGTTTACAGTTCTGCAAGTTTTGATATACGTATACAGTCATATGACCACCACAAAAATCAAGATAAAGAACAGTTTCATGTCTCCCCCAAGCTTCCTGTGCCCCTTTGTAGTCACCCCCCACCCCTGCCCCAGCCCTGACTCAGCTCTTTTCTGTTCTATGGTTTTGCCTTTGAAAGAGTATCATAGAAATGGAATCATATAGTTTATGGCCTTTTGTGTCTGGCTTCTTTCAGTGAGCATAACGAATATGAAATTCAGTCATGTTGTGTGTATTTGAGGTTTTTACCTTGTTCCTTTTTCTGACTACCTTTTGGCTGCGTTGGGTCTTCGTTGCTGTGCGTGGGCTTTTCTCTAGTTGTGGCGAGCGGGGTCTACTCTTCGTTGGGGTGCACGGGCTTCTCATTGCAGTGGCTTCTCTTGTTGCGGAGCATGGGCTCTAGGTGCGTGAGCTTCAACAGTTGTGGCACATGGCTTGGTAGTTGTGGTTTGCGGGCTGTAGAGCGCAGGCTCAGTAGTTGTGGCTCATGGGCTTAGTTGCTCCACGGCATGTGGGATCTTCCCGGACCAGGGCTCGAACCCATGTCCCCTGCATTGGCAGGCGGATTCTTAACCACTGTGCCACCAGAGAAGCCCCATGTTTTTAAATAAGTAAGAGAAATGTAAAATTATCAGCCAAAATACCAGTTACGTGATTGAGTAGTAACGGTTATTCTTTGTGTTCCGGAAAGAATATGCTTTTAGGATTGTATAACTGCACAAAGATGAAGTCTGTTGGCTAATTAAGCGTACCTCAACTTCTTGTTTCATCTCTTCTACATTAACAGCAGTTTGTCTAATAATATCTGACTTGAGTTGGTTGCCTTGGTAATTGAGTCCTTTTTTTTTTTTTAGATATACCACGCAAGCACAATATTTATTTATTTAGTTAGTTATTATCATTATTTATTTATTTATTTTTGGCTGAGCTGGGTCTTTGTCGTGGTGTATGGGCTTCTCTAGTTGTGGCATGAGGGTTCCAGAGTGCATGGGCTTTGTAGTTTGTGGCATGCGGGCTCTCTTGTTGAGGCATGCAAGCTTGGTAGTTGTGGCGTGGGCATAGTTGCTCTGAGGCATGTGGGATCTTAATTCCCCGACCGGGGATCGAACCTGTGTCTCCTACATTGGAAGGCAGATTCTTAACCACTGGACCACCAGGGATGTCCCTTAAGAGTCCTTCTTGATTTTAGTTGGCTCTTCTCTTTTCTGAGCAGCATTGAAAAGAATCAAGGTAGTGTAATACTCAATAGCATGTTTTAGGCTGATTGTAATGTTGATATCCTGAGTCTGTTTTTACAGATCCAGGTTCCAGTCATAAAAGTAAATTTAAAATATGATCAAATATTTTTCCGAAGGCTGTTTCACGTATGTTCTTTTTTTCCCTTCCATTGCACAGGTGGTTCTTCCAGTGCTTGGATACAATATTCAGTACCCAAAGAACAAACTAGGGAAGTGGTACCAGGAAGTACTCAGCAGAGATGGACTACAGACATGTAGATTTAAAATACCTACTCTGAAACTGAATGTTCCAGGATGCTATAGAAAGATTTTGAAACATCCCTGTAATCTCTCATACCAACTAATAGAAGACCATGATATTGATGTCATGAAGGAAGATTCCCACATCGATGAAGCAACTTTATCTCTTTTGATCTCTTTCGATCTTGATGCTTCGTGTTATGCTACCGTTTGTCTGAGGGAAATAATGAAGCATGACTTTTAAAACTGATCCCCTTAATATAATCGTGTATGTGCCACTTTTTAAAGGAAAGGGAGCTAAAGTTTCTTGAGCATCTACCATGTGCTAGGAGCATTATAATTGTTATCTCCTTTAATTACACAACATCCTGATGAAGTAGGAATTTGATACTAACATTCCAGAGGACGTATAGCTAGTAAGTGGCAGCATCTGAGTTGAAGACTCCAAAGCCTTTGTTCTTTCTATTATCTAATATCTCGGTGACCTTTAGACTGTGCTATAAAAGTTAGTCTTTCTGGACTGTTAGGAGCCTGTAATACTACAGGATGACATTAAAAAAGATAACATTAAAGAAAAACATTTTTGGAGTAATGTTTATATCTTCAAGCTCCTTGCTTAGAATGTAGATGAAACTAGGTTGTAATGAAAACAGGGTTGGAAAGATAGATGAAGCATTTTGTTAATTATTGCCATTCTCTCCTGTTTTTGAAATTATTGATCAGAACAGTACATCAGGAAAATATAATCCCTCTATTTATGATAGCTACCCTTTATGAGGTAAATAATCTTTGATGAATATTGAAATAAAATTTTTCCTACAGTTTCTTTATCTTGACATATATTGACCCTCCACTTTTTTGTTATTTCTGTTCTGTCATCTAAAACATAAATTTTTAGAGTCAGACTCATCTGTGCTCAGACTCCAGCTCTGACACTTACTAGTGACTGAGTGTTGTTGATTGTTTCTGAGGCTCATTTAAGGAATCAAGATAGCACCAATCTCATAAGCAGCAAACAATAGAATTATCTCCACCTTTTTACATTGCTGGAGGAAGAAAAACATTTTACCCGTTTTGAAAATTCTTTATTTGTTGGTTTAACTATCCTGCATCACAAACTGTCCTTATCCACTATTACATCAGGTACATTTGGGGGGAAATGGGATATACTGATTGGGAAAATCTGAGCATTCTTTTATTGCTGGTAGCATTACACAATGACTTAAAAGGCTGTCAAGAGTATTATATATTAGTAATGTGACACTTTTATATACTTAAGTCAGTCAAACCATTTTGGGTATATTAGCATAAGGAAATAAAATTCCAAAGAAGGAAAAAAACTATGCGATGCAAAATTTGCTTAGTGCAGCATTCCTATATATACAGAAAGAAATTAGAAACAGTTTGGAAGTCCAGCATTAGCTAACTAAAAGTAAAATGAGATGTAACAACTTGCTGGCAAAACATTTAGTTATTAAAGTTGATGATGAAGGTTTTAGGTATGTGAGAAAATGTTGCCCCACAAAACCATGTATATATATATATATATATATATATATTTAACCATATATATAAAACACAAATGCAGTATATACACTGCATGCAGCTTTTACACAGGAGAGGCACTTTAGCATAGTGATTAAAAGCTTAGATACTGGGGACAGACTCCCCTAGTTTGAAGCTTGCCTCTGCCACTTAGAGCAGTGTGGCCTTGGACAAGTTGTTTAAGCTTTGTGTGTTTCAGTTTCAACATCTATAAAACAGGGATGGTAAAAACCCTACCTCTTAGGATTATTGTGATGATTTGCTGAGTTAATATATGTAAAGCAGCTTAGAAAAGTGCCTAGCATTTAGTGATTGTTAAATAAATGTCCACAAATGCAAATTTGGAAGGGAACAGAAAAAAATGAAAATGCCATTCTGTTACGATCGTAGAATGTTTGGAATTTTTTTAATACTAGAAAGTTCCTCTTCTGTCTTTATATATTTTAATAATAAACAAATTCAGGACACAAAACTTTCAGATTGTGGTACCATGGACTTTTAAAATTACCTTTACTGCCTTAATATTTATCGAAAATGAAATGATGCTATATTAAATAGTAAAACTATTTAGAAATGATGTTTTAACATTAATCATTGGGCAGCAATTAGAAAATATGAAATCATTAAAAATGTGCCATCACTGATAGTATTTTCTTTGCCTGTAGATGGCACTATAATTTTAGGTATCTTGCTAATTTATTTATTTAGTACTTTGGCCCTGTGTAAAGAAAGGATCACTAAAGTTATTTCAGGTCACCATAAAATGTATTCAGATACTGTTCATGTGAAAAATTATTTTATATACTAATAATATTTGCCACGTTAATTTTTTTTTTTTTTTCAGTAAGGACTTGAATAGACTTTGGACCAAATGATGAGCAGTCACCTAAGTTTTTGCAGTTTTTCTGGAGCATTTCAGGCTTTCAGAAGAAGAATCTTTGGATTAGCTTTAATTTTCAACTGTTGCATTTGAAACTGAGCAATAGTGCCTCAGGATTACTAAGGTAAAACAAATGGAGGTCTTTTTATTAAGATAAAAACACTTGGATTTTTGTAAGTTGTAATAAATGGAAGTCATATGCAACTTTGATCCAAGTAACATTTTTTCTGAGTGTTGTGCCACTCCTCTCATTGTAATCCACGTACCCACCCAGTAGGTGGGTAGTGTTTTCCCTGTTTTTGCAAATGAGAAAATATTTGAGTGGTTTACTGACCTATTCAAGGTGAAACAAGATGCTATTTGGGAACTTGATTATGCTTCCTAGAGCAGTACTGCTTTCATCTACCTAATTGCCTTCTGAAAACAAATTTTTTGGTTAATAATTTCTATTCCTACCAACTTATTTCTTGATATCGATTAATAGGCATATTGGAGCAGGTCTTGAGAGAAACGAGATTCCTGTTGAGGTTTTGAAACCAAAATAAAAGTAAAGGAGATCGTTTAGGAAATTTCCAAACCATTTTGGGGTATTTTCCAGGACATTTTGGGACTTGTATCTCAATGATGGGCAACATCATTATAGGTCATAGAGGGTTACTTTAGATGATACCTGGTACAATATTAAATATCACTGAAAAAGTTCAGTGAGAGGATTGTTTTTCCCTGCCCCCCCCCCACCCCGCCCCGATACTCTTTTAATCTGTTTAAGACAAGGAGAAAGCTGGCTGAAATGAGTTTACATATATCGCTTGCTGGATTTACCTTTTTAACAGAGATTGTGCAGGCCTGAGGCTCAGGAATACCAGCAAGCAACAATATCTAACTAGAATTTCATAATACTGCTTTGTTTTATTGAGTTTATTTTTCTAGTTACTTTTTTTTATGGCAAATAATCTTGGTTTTCAACTTATGTGATGTTTCTTTCAAAAATAAATTTTAAAATGAGGAACTCAGTGTAAAGGTAATAAGGAACTACTAGTATAGATATAGCAGTAATTATGACAGCAGTACATGAATGATTGAAGTTTGGGAAATGGTGAGAGTACCTGAACTCAGAGAGTGCCTCTACCACTGCAGTAGGGTGTCCCTTTAGTAACCTACTGAATTTCTCTGTTGTGATCTCAGGTGTGAAGTAATGTTAGTAATCATTTTTCAGTCCAGGACTGTACTGCATCAAACAAAATAATGAAAAATACACAAATGCAAGATACATTTGATGAACACAAGTACTAATGATCACATGCCATATCTTAAAATTTCACTGATAGGGATTTTCATTTAGAAAATCTTATGAAACACCAAGAACAGTGCCCAGCACCTAGTAAATTCTCGATAAGTGTCAGCTTGTGTTATTATAGTTACTATTACATTACTGTGCTCTCTGATGAAAGTTTTACAGTTGAATGGTTGATGAATTTCCCTTGAGATCTGATCTGACTCTGTCTTAGCATAAAGTAATTACAGTTCAGCACACTTTTATTTATTTTTTTGTAAGTGGAAAGAACTACGTATTTCTAAATCTGGGAATTCAGCAGTTCATTCAAATTTAGATCTTTAAGAACTATCTAGGTCAGTGTGCCTCAATATTTTCCACCTGGGAACTACCCTTAAGAGACCAAGAAGAAATGAAGCTGCATATAACAGTGCAGAATTTTCTTGTGTTAATGTCAGGATAGGAGAAGAGGTTGGAGGGAGGAGACATAGGGAGTAAGAGAAATAGGACTTTTCATTTTTTTCTTTATTTACTTCTGAAATGTTTGGGTATTTAAATAAGAATACATTTGTATATTAATTTTGCAATTAATTAAAGGATACTGAAGCTTCAGAGAGGGTAAGGTAAGGGAAGTGATGGATTATGATTGCATTTTTTTCAGAATGATTCTGGTGGGTCATGCCAGCGTATTGCCAGAGAGAGAAATTTCTGCTTTGTACTTTTTAACAGTACTAATGGTGGTTAATATAAATAAAGTTTAGTACCTGTGCTATGGATTTTGCTTTCAGAGTCAGAACGATTCTTACAGATAGCTTGATGTCTTATGGTACTGTTTTAATCTTTTTTTTCCTAAGCCCTTCTGCTTTACATATTTCTGATAGGCCACAAAGCAATGCCAAATATATGACATAATAATCCACAAACATTTGAGTGCCCCTAAGTTAAAGGCACTCTGTAAGATGCTGTGGGGAAAGACAAACAGATAATGTCCCTGACTTTGAGGGATTAAGTGTTATATCCTTGAACATATCATTTTATTTGAAATGCCATCTGGAAAAAGAGTATACAGACCACTAGATGGCAAAGGGAAAAACAAACAGCTTCTTTGCATTTCACTTATGGCTCACTTTATGACGAATAATAGGTTTCTTGACCTCTCAGCACCTCATTCTGAATCTTTAAATGATACCTATATTAGCATCTCCACGCATTTTGAGATCTCTTAAAATATGCTTTGAAGTATTCAGTCTAAATGCTCCTTTCTCGAAAGCTATAGTTTAAAGAATGGGGAATGGTGTTAGCAGAGTTAATCTTGTGTAATTTCAGTGTGGGTTGTCAGGAATACCTTTAAGTAAAGAAAATGACTCTAATCTTCTTAAGCAATTCGTTTTCTCAGCAACTGGGAGGCAGGAGCTAATTTACTCTGCCTGTGTACACAGGCCTGTCTTATTAAAGGAAAATTTTACTCATGGAGAGAAGTCACAATACCCCTGAAATTCTTTATATTTGGACATTGGAAAATGTGGCAAAATATAAGAAACATTAAATTGTCTTTTCTGTATCAGTTTCCTTCCTAAATACCCAACTCAACTACCAATATTTTCTGTTACAAAGAGGAAATTTAATCATGGAGTTGAAACAAGAGCTATTTGGTGGTTTTTAAAGGGAGGAGAACAAGGAGCTGGTCACTCGCTCCTTAGCTGAGGGTATTTGAGCAGCAGGATGGGTGGAGAGAGGAGAGGGTTAGGGACTTAGGTCTTTATGCTTTGATTCCAAGTCACCCTTTTCTGATAAGCCTTACTGGCATTTTCTTAGACTGGTTATGTCAGGATTCTGAAGCTTTCACTACAGTAGGGTGTTAATCTTAGCCGATTATTGTTCCCATCCCCACCCCTGGTCATAAAGGGCTAGTGTTCTTTTCTGGAAAGGGAAGATGAAGACTCTTTCTACAAATAACCTTTATAGTTTCTTTAGGTTATAATAAAATGTGGTGGGTTGTTTTTTTTTTTTTTTTTTTGCATATGATTTTCAAAAGGAAACTAATTTCTAAAAATAACCTTTATATTTTCTTTAGGTTATAATAAAATTTGGTGGGTTTTTTTTTTTTTTTTTTTTTTTGCATATGATTTTCAAAAGGAAACT